TTCTATAATATTCTATTCTAAACCTACTTATATATATAATATTATATAATCTTATATATATATATTATATATTTATCTTATAGAAAGAATTCTATAATATTATATTTTTAACCTACTTCTATATATACTATTATATAGTATTACTAATATAGACTATAATAGCTATTATATATATATTATTATATAATATTATATATACTTATTATTAAAGTATTAAATAAACTTAATATCTATTTTTATATTTTATATATATAGCTATAGGTATAATATTTATTCTTAATACTTAATATTTATTTATAGGTATTCTATATCCTCTAACCTTTATAAATACCTTAAAATATATATAAGTATATATAACTAATTAACTAAACCTTTTTTAAAATTTAATATAATAAAAGGCTATAATAGTATATATAAATATATAAGGCTATATATACTTATATACTAGTATTACTACTAGTATTCTTATAGGTAACTATTAATATTAATAAATAGATATTATATAATATTATATATAGTATTTACTATAATTATTAGTAGCCTCTGTGGTATAGTGGTTCTGTGGTATGGAGTTCTATATGGGTTAGCATACGGATTGCTAGTTCGAATCTAGCTAGAGGCACCCTAAACGATTTTTCCAAAAGTCAAGCAGCGTAGCCCAGCCCTATAACTAACTTATAAGGGAACATAGGTAGGGTAACTATAGTAGGCTAGGGTAAAAGCTAGAAGGTAATACATACTAACCACTATACCACCCTAGCCCTTAATAGATAGAATAAGGCTAAAAACCGTATATATACTATAGTATATACCTATAGATAGGCGTTATAGTAAGGGACTATTCTACTACTTAGATATATATATAGATAGTAAGTAAATTAATATACCTAGATAGTTAATAAATAATAGAAAATATAGAGGGATATAAATTAAGGTATAGCCTAGGAACCTACTAACTAAGAATACTAAATACTATTAAATACTACTAGGAATTGTTATATAATAGTAGATTAGTATATAGGAGAGGCTAGTTTTTACCTAGGCAGCCCTAGGTCTGTACCTAGCACGGTGAGGTGCTAGTATAAGGGATCTACTACTACGGTTTTTCTAGCACTTATAAGTTTATTAAGGTACTAGAAGGACCATAAGGTCTAATTAGGGTAATTTAATAAATAAATTATTAGTAGCCTAGGTAATTAGCTAAAGTAAGTATATAAGCTTATATATAGTTATAGGAGCTATATTAATACTAGTAACTATACTTACTATATTACTCTTAATAATATATATACTAGTAGTAGTATAAGTATATTTTTTCTTAGTAAAGGGGGGGGATATTAGCTTATATATATATATATTAATAAAATTAATTATATATATATATATATAATAACTTATATTTTAATATATAAAGATTAATATATTAGCTATAATAATAGTTAGTATAGCTTTTAAAAAGCTATATAAGTAGTATATACTTTATAAAATAACTATAGTTATTATAGTATTATTTATAACTAACTATACCTTTTTAAACTATTTTATAAAGTTATTTAAGTATTACTTTATAGACTTATAAGTACTTAATTAAGGTTTTAAAGATTATAAGTTTATATACTTAATTAAATACTATTTTTAATATAAGTATATACTTAAGCTATATTTTATATAATTAATATTATAAGTATTATATATATAAGATAGTATTAAATAATATATACCTTAAGTTTTAAAGTTATAATATATATTATAAATAATACCTTTTTTAAAATAATACTTTTATACTATAAGATAATATATATAGTTACTTCTATATATATATTACTATTAGCTATTATAGCTATATATATAGGTATAGTAATATTATTAATCTTTTTTAAAATAATAATAACTTTATTTAATATAATATAAGAGTATATAAAGGTATATAAAGATTATTATTAATAATATAAATTAGTATAAAAATAATATAAGAATATATAAGAATATATAAAACTAATCTAATTATAAAAACTTAGGTTAATATATATATATAGTAAAGTATATATATTTAACTATATATAAAAGTATATATATATATATATATATAAAAAGAGAAGAAAGGACTAATAGAATTAATAGCTAAAAAGAAAAAGAGAAGGTTTATATAATATATTATATAAAATAAAACTAAAATATACTAAGTAAGGTAGCTATATTTAGATATAAGAATAACCTATATTTATTATAAGAATAATATATATCTAAAAAATATAATAGCCTACTTATATATATATTATTTTATATTTAACTGTATACTAGGTGTGAATTGGGATTTGGCGACAACTTACCTATAGGCTGCCGTACCTCACCATGTCATGGCAACTGCCGTGCGGCGCGACAATGCGACCCGCCACTACAGCCGACATTCCCAGCATCGTCGACGTCTACATGGACTCGTTTCGCAACGAAATCTTTAGCCGGCAAGCCTACCCCCGGGACGCGGCCTCGTCTCTAGCCTACTGGACACGCACCGTGCAAGAAGAAATGGCTGAGCCCGACGCCGTCTGGTTCGTCGTGGCCGAGCCCGCCGCCGCCGCCGCCAACGGCGACACGGTGCAGGGCTTCCTCAAGTGGACGCTGCCCGGGGCACCGGTCCCAGAACCGGACAGCGACGGTTATCCGCCCGAGGGCCCGGCAGGCGTGGCGGCCGAGTACTACGCGCGCGTCATGGGCGCGCACGCTGCGTACATGGGGAGCACGCCGCACTGGTACCTGGACATGATGGGCGTACGGCCGGCGTGCCAGGGGCGGGGATATGCAAAGGCGCTGGTGGGATGGGGGTGTGCGCGGGCGAGAGAGGACGGGTGCGCCGTGTACGTGGACGCGACGGGGGATGCAAGGGGGTTTTATGAGAGAATGGGGTTTGCGAAGCTGGGCGAGGTGGTGACGGTTGGGACGCCACAGGGGGATGCAGAGGTGTATCTAATGCTGTGGAAGCCGTGAGGGTAGCGGTGGTTGGAGTGCGGAGAAGTTGTTTGTGTTTGCTGGACAGCATGTCGGAATGTGATTGTTCTTGTGGATATCCGTATACGGATAGTAATTATACGCACGATGAGACATGGCTGGCATGGACCTGCGGCCCGGCATTGCAGATGGGATGGAAGGGTAAACAAGATAGAGCCTGCATCGCGAGATGATTTATTCTGTTTATCGAGGTACTAGAAGGGCCAGAAGGTAATTGGAGTATATCAATAATAACATCAGACGTCATCTTTGATTTGAGTCAGCTCGTTATACATTCGTACTTACTCGTGGGTATTTCAGGATACTCTCCAAAATCGGCATTTACGACGCCGCTGACGCTGGCATTGCTGGCCTTGGCCCAGCTGCTTAATATTGACTGCAATTGAGAGGGTCTTTCCCCCAATTTTCATATCCACAACTCTATTTTCCTTCTTTTTCTGTGCAACAGCGGCATGTCCGGCCCCGGCTCATAAACTCCGGCCCATTGCCCGCCCGCCCCACTGGACCTCGGTGAAGAAGCCTGGTTTAGCCTCATCAGTCCGCACCAGCACTAGTTAATCAGACTTTTTTTTTTTCGCCTGCAACTTGTGGACGCATCAAGGTCGGGAAAGTTGTCGCGTGACGAATCTGGAGCAAAGCTGGGTCCGATGAATTTTTTCAGATGCGCTGGGGAGCTGTTTGCTTCGTTGTTTGTAACATTGAATCCCGGGGTTTTCAACGCGGTTTGCCACAAGACCGTCCGTTATTACCTGCATAGGACCGAGAGCACAACCCTGGCAGATCCGGATCCGTGTCTTGTTTTATTGCATTCGTTCAGGTGCTGACGCGCGCTGCAAAGCCCCCAACAACGCCAGAAGCCAGGGGTTTGCTGCGCTGCGCCTTGCCCGTCTCTAGCGGCCGTTACAGGCCCTCGGGCCTCAAGTCTCTTTCAGTGGGTCGGTACTTGTCGTTAAGTGGTCATGCCGGCTAAAAATACCGTCACTGCTTGTCACTCGGGCGGCTTGATACCTCGGCCGTTTGCCAACCGTCTTGAAGCTGTGGCTCGAGTCCTCGATCCAATGGAATGCACTTGCTGGCCAGAGCTTTTTTCTTCTTTAATATCATCACCACCCCTTCCCCCCCCCCAAATCCTTTTGTTTCCCATTCTCAGCTCTCCCACTTTAGTCCATTTATTTCATTATATTTTCGTCCATCTCTTCTTTTCTTCCGTCTCTCTTTCGGATTATTTAGACGCAGCCACCACTCTATAGCTTTAAACCGACAGTTGCACTTGAACCCCTGGCTTCTGCCAACACGTCATCACCAAACCTCAGCGCTTACGCACACACCAACACCCCGGGACCAACACCAGCGACATCATCACCACCAGCGCCGTCATCGCCATGGCTGCCGCCAACTCCTCCTACGGCGCCAATAGGCTCGCCGCCTACCTCGCCAAGTTTAGCCCCGTACCCGCCTTCCCCGAGTACACCGGCCCCTACAAGGTTGGCACCATGGATGTCGAGATCCCCGTCACCGACCTGCCCGCGCCCAGCCCGGCGCCCGCCGTCGCTGACGGCATCGAGACGGTCCAGTACCGCGTCTTCTACCCCGCTGTCCCCGAGTCGGTCGAGAAGCCCATCAGCTGGCTGCCCGCCCCCCAGCGCAACCACGTCTCCGCCTACACCCAGTTTGTCGGCATCAACTCGACGCTGGCCGGCGTCCTCTCGTAAGTTGCGCCAACCATGACCAACCGTGAGACTCAATTAGCGCTTTAGGCTAACACCAGTACTCCCACAGCTTCATACCTAGACATCTTCACTACGCTACTATTCCCGTCCACAAAAACGCGAAGCTCCTGCCCGCCGACACTGACGACCACCGTTGGCCGACCATGATCTTCTCCCACGGCCTCGGCGGCAACCGTACCTCGTACTCGTACATCGCCGGCTCCCTCGCCTCCCATGGCGTCGTCGTCTTCTGCCCCGAGCACCGCGACGGCAGCGCCGCCGTCACCTACATCCGGCTCAAGGACCAGATGGACCGCTTCTTCACTGCCAGCACCCGCCGCGAAGTCCCCTACAGTCGCATCTCCCACACCATCACCCCCGAGGTCTACGAGGCCCGCGAGGACCAGTTGCGCATCCGCCTCTGGGAGTTGGGTCTCATCCACGAGGCCATCCAGGCTATGGACTCAGGCGATTCATTTACCAATCTCAACCTGTCCACGCCCAGCCTCGACCAGTTCACCGACGCCCTCGACGTCAAGCGCCCTGGTAGCATCATCTTTGCCGGCCACTCGTTTGGCGCCGCCACCGTCTATCAGCTCCTCAAGAGCACCTACTACGCCGACGTCCCCGAAGTCGCCGCCATGGAGAAGCCGCTCTTCACACCCGCCAAGAACAGCAGCATCCGCAAGCAAATCACAGAAAAGAACGTTACGATGCTGCTCGACATGTGGTGCCTCGCCCTTCTCGCCCCCAACTCGGCGCCCCTCTACAACCTCCCGCTGCCCGTCTACGCCGACACCTCGTCCGCCCCTGGTGGTACCGGCCTGCTGGCCGTCGAGTCCGAGTCGTTTTTCAAGTGGACGGAGCATCTCGACGTCAAGGCGCGTCTGCTGTCTCCCGACCCAACCACCAAAGTCGTCGGCCCGCAAACATTTGAGACCCAGAGCGGCATGAAGCACGTCGAACCCAACTTTTTCTACGTCGTCAACTCGGCCCACCTCAGCCAGTCCGACTTTGGCATCCTCTTCCCTTTTCTCACCAAAAAGATTTTCGACGCCGAGCAACCCGAGCGCGCTCTGCGCCTCAACCTGCGCGCCCAGCTGCAGCTCTTGCGCGCCAACGGCATCCCCGTCGCCCGCACCTACACTGGCGACCTCATCGACGGCTCTCACATGGACAAGTTCGACGTCAAGAAGAAGACGGACCCGGTCGGGCCGCACCCCACCGACGGCATCGTCGACGACAAGGCCATCTTTGACCGCAGTGGTAGCAACGTCGTCGATAATTGGGGTTGGATCGATGTCATTGGCCTGGGCGACTCCGGCGAGAAGGAGACGACCAAGTCTGTCGCTGAACAAGTGGAAGACGGCGAAGAGGTCATCAAGGGCGAACTCGAGCCTAGCGAACAGCGCCTGCCTGCCGCTGTCAACGCTGCCGCTTGAATGGCTTGACCACGCAAGAAGAAGAAAAAGCTGCGGCGAGATCTAACCACATTTTATACCCACTGTACTTTTATAGCGATTTTGGATTTGTTACGGAGCGGCACATTTTGCATAGATATTTTAGGCATAGCATGGGAAAGACCATAGAGGTCAAAAAGTAGGATGTTATAGTTTTCTGCATTTAATTTCATATACGAAACGCCTTTTCTGTCGTCTTTGTGCAAATCTCTAAATCCCTAATGTTCACGTGCATATTGTGCATCGCCTTGAGCGCCGGTTTTGTTCCTTCTGTATCCTACATGTCCAGGTTGCCCCCTGTCATCTCCAAATTTTGTCATTCCAATTCTCCCTCACCATCCAAATATTCCATCCAACTAAATAACAACGCCAAATTTTCACCTACCAAGATTTTCCAAACCTGATTCCAAGTCATTGCTTCCTCTCATTCTGACATCCTCGATATCCTTCTTCTTTCTTTCTCATTTTCTTTTATTTTTTCCCCTTCTCAACTCTCAAAATCAACTTCAGTCAAGAACTCGCCCGCTAGAATGCGGCCCCAGTGCGTCTTGTCAATCTCCTGGCAGTCGCGCCGTAGCGTGGTCAAGAGCATCTTGATGCTCTGCACAGGGCTCTTGGTAAACTTGGTTTTGCCGCTGGCGACAAACCCGTCCGACGCAACCGCACTTGATGTCTCGTCCCCGTCGGCCGCCGACGAGGGCCGCCACGCGAGACTCAGCATGTCGCACGTGTCGGCGTAGTCCTGGTAGGAGCCAAAGTACAGCTGGCCGGCAAACAGGTTCAGCTGCAGCCGCAGGTTGCGCGGCAGTGCCCAGTCGGGCTCCGTGATGGCCGGGATGCTGTACAGCCGCAGCTGGTCGAGCGGCTGCGCGGCGAGGCTCATCCGCGGTGCGTAGATGTGTAGATGCGCGCGTGTCGACTTGGCGAGCCGCGGCATGAGCTCCTGCGCCTCGAAAGGGCTGATGATGACAGCCTTAGTGCCACCAAACAGCCCGCGGCCGGTTAGGATCCATTGCACGGGCCGCTGGTACGAGTCGCGCCGCGCGGCCGTGACGGTGACCGCATAGTCATTTGACACCAGCAGGTCGCTGGGGAACTGGCTCAGATCGATGCAGTCGGCCATTATAGTGTTACTCAAAGAGAGAAAGGCGGGCTTCACCGTGATCGAGTTGGACGGCATGCTGCCTGTCGTGATGAAGCTTACCAAGTCCGGGTGCAGTGCGTGCGCTGCGGGTGTCGCGGCGTGCGGTCTCTCGATTTGACGCTCCTGCTCAATTTCAGGCGCCAACTCCTTCTCCTGCTCCTCCTGCAGCGCCGCCGATCGGAATTGGGAGACGCCGAACTCCTCGCATCGCTTCTGGATAGAGTGTAGTGGAGAGCTCTCTCCTTCAGCTAGTGTTAGGTGCGCAAAGGAGGAAAAGAGCTCCTCGGTATCTGTCGTCGTAGTCGTGGGTCGGTAGCGATACGCAATCGTCTGGGCCTCCTCCTCGAGAAAGGACTCGGTATGCGTGCTCGTCAGCTGCAGCCCATTTTCCGTACGCGCACTGTCCCAAATGGCCTGTTGCTTCTCGAAGCGCGATCCTTGAATGGCCCATAGAGGCATGAGCCGACGTAGGTCAGTGTGCGTCTCCGAAATGGCCCACATCAAGACGTCGTCTACTTCAATATTGCTATCTTGCGCTTTACCTGTCGTCATGCAGATGCGGGACTGCATTTCCTTAGAAACACAAAAGATGACCGACTGCCCATGGCCAAGTTTGCGCATGCGCATACAGGCTGCAGCATCAAGTTAGTACAAAAGTGTTTCAGTCACGATTCGAGAAGCATCTTACCCTGCGCGAGTCGGTCTTTGGTAAGGTCGGGGCCAAGTGTGACAGCCGCTCGATAGTCCTCTGGAAGTCTCAAATCTGTTCCTCGCGTATGGGCCTGGTCTAGGAACACCAGGCAGCGATCCAGCTGCTCGCAATACGGCGAAGTCTGCAGTCTTTCCACAGCGCCCTTGCGATCAATGACACAAATTTCGTCGTCATCGTCGAAAAACACGACAGCCTCTTGCTTTTGATCTGGAGGAACTAACTCTAGCCACCGTTTTGCCACTTGTATGTTCGTGAGTTCCAGCACTTGCGCACCAACATCCAAGATAACATGAACTTGGTTTTCCGTGGCTGCCACGAATTCAAGTAGCTGCTTCGTGCTAGAGTGATTCTTTTCGTCAGAAGAATGCAGCAGCTGCACCTTGTTTTCTGGTCGCAGCAGGTTCTCGAGCACGAGCGCGTTTGTGTGCAGTTGCTCTTGTATGTCGAGTTGTCTGACATCGAGGGGCAAGACATGGCGGGAGTCGTTTGTTCCACTGAACCCGGTTGTGGCATGGTTCTTCTGGGCACCTAGGTCCCAACCAGACGCGGAAAGTTTGTGCGAAAACTCCTTGAGCTCCTTTGAGAATACAAGATGCGACAGGAAATAGTCAATCACGTTCTTGGAGTGACGAAGATGTGGAAACGCATTTTCGGTAATTTGTTTCAAGTCCTTGATGTTGACACCAGCGAGACGGTGAAACGAGGTCGGTAGATTAGGCGCGCCCTTGACCCAGTCGTCATATTCTATTTCCGCTTGGTCAGATTTCATCAAATGGGTGAAGGTGACGCAGAGATCATGATTCGTCAGCCCTTCATAATAGTAACTAAGACAAGTTAGAAGAATCACCACATCGGGGTGGCTAAACTCCGCTCGAGTGGAGGGACAGTCCTTTGCTCTATATGGCACAGCGAGCTTCGTGCTCGGGGTTCGATTGGGATCCAAGCCGTAGTTTACTCTCCATCGCTTTTGGCGAAGCGCGAAGAGTAAAACTCTGCCCGCAATGAGTCCTCGCAGTAAGAGTAGAGGTCCCTTAGTGGTGTCTGTGAAGAAGCCTGTTTGGAATTCCACGAGCGCAATGCTCTCTGCAGACACGTCGTACTCCAAAAGGTACTCAAATATTGCCGCCCTCACTTTCTGACTTTGTCGCCCAATGGGCAGGCCAGGGAAGCCGGTGGCACAAATTTGCTCCGTCACTCTGCGGAGTAGCAGCGCGCCAGCCTCAGTCCGGAGAATGCGTGTTCTTGGAAAGCGTCCACGGCTGCGGTGCGTAATTTCAATCCCCTCAGGCATATCTTGCTGCACCGACGGCGCGACCGAAACGACGATATCTAGAAGACGCTGCAAGACGGTCCAGCGCTCGGGGCTCAGCTCGATGGGGCGCTGCTCTCCCATGGTATAGATAAGTTCGAATTTGGGGCTAAAGTTCTCGTCACTCTCATCCACAATGTCACGCGAGTTTGAATCAAGAAAGTGATATAAATCGACGAGAGCTTCTGCTGCTTGATTTTGGTCTGCCAAGGACTGGTACTCGATGGCCATCAGTTTGAACGAGAGTATGTGCTCCGGCTGCAGGAGCAACACACCGCCCTGCTCCATACAATCTCTGTACAACTGGTGAAGACTCTTCACCTGGTATTCCTTGAGTCGTAGGGATCGGTTGAATGGCATGTAAAAGATCCGACGGTTGAGAAGGCCGCCCAATTTGGCGACGAGGGTCCTCAGAAGCTCTTTGGCCTGTGGCTTTCCAACCACAACGCGCACCAACCGAGTACCATCTGCCAGGTGTGCAGCGACAATAGGGACAATGACTGAGGACTTTCCCTCGCCCATATTTAGCTGCATGACTGCATTATTCTCGCCCTCAGGGCTTCGCATCTCCGAGCGATGTCATGCTGCACCCTGCGGATCAAGATGCTGCTTTCGATTTCCAGTAGAAGATTTTGCGGATGCATTATGGCCCCCGAATTAGAGTAACCTGAATTTGATAATTCTTTCAAGAGATCGGATGTTGTTTTCGCTTGAAGAAGCCTCTCGGCCTGTTGAAGTTTGGTCAAAGCAATACCAAACATCAGAAGAGCGTCCTGCCACTCCTGGGACAGCGAGCCCCAGTGACGGGAAACAAAGTGACCAACAAGGATCGAGGACGATGTGCGAGGCGCCATAAAAGCGGCTGCAACTTTCCATCCATCCGTAGCCGCGTCAGAAGGTTTCCCGTAGAGACCTCTTTGCAGACCCTCAGTGATGGAAGCATGCAGCGCCGTGTAGATGTTATTAACGTTTTCTTGGCAATTGCGAAGATGATCGCTGAGAACATCTCCGAGCTCTGTTCCTTGCAGCCTCAATTTTTTTAAAGGCTCTACCTGTTTCAATGCCTCGAGACTTTTTTGCAATTCGTCCACGTATTGTGTTTGGCAGGAGTGCTCTGATGATGCCGAGTTTCTCACTCTCTCTAGCAGGCCCGCCAATCTGTTGGTCATCGACACTGGTGCGCTACTTGATTGGCACAAATCGAGTTCGTTCCTTGATAATGACGGCATTGATGGGCTTGAAAGAGCAAACATTGCTCGGTTATTGATGACTGCTCTCTGCTGCGCGTTCGCCGGCGAGGCGCGGACTGCTTGTTCGGGAAGCGAGCGAGCCGGCATAACCGAACATGATCTTAACGTTGTTGCAATATCCGTGAGATATTCACGAAGACAATGATTGTTGTGCCAGTGCCCCCATGATGTTCGAAGGGTATTAAACGCGGCGCTGCATTCTAGGTACATACGTCCGGCAGTTTCTAGGACTGGTGCCTTGCGAATCCACTGGACATGCAACCCCGTGACGAAACTTTCGAACGCCCTACTCTGTTCGTCTTCAAATTGATCTCTGCGTCGCTCGAGATAGTCTTCATCGGTTTCGTCTTCGAATTGAGGAAGGTTGTACTCCGGACTGTTAAAAAAATCGACAAGATAAGCCTCGGCTACTGACTGAATCATCGCGCGAGTGGGAGCATATCCGAGAGTAATACTGTATGTAGCTGCGCTTGGTAAAGCAACTTGGAACGTATCCGGCATGGCGAAAAAAGCAGCAAGGCACTGCACCGGCTGTAGACTTGCAGACGCCGAGTACACCATTGTACAGAGGCACAGCATCACCTGGAACCGGTTCAACTGCGATGATTGCGAGACGAGCAAGCGATGCAACTGTAACCAAAACTTTTGCAGGATCTCATCCTGCTCTCCCATCCACTGCGAGCCATAACATATGCCTCTCGCCGACACCTCTCCAGTAGGTCCCATGGTAGTACCGCAGCTGAAAGATTTCCACATGTCGGCCACTAGACTGGGACTGACCTGTTCAGCCAGGCCCTTGGGCTCTCGTGTTAGCATGGCCGCAACTTGAAAGGCTTTAGTGGACAATTTTGGAGATTTTCTGGTGTCCCGGCTCTGGTAAATGGTGTCATAGTCAACCAAGTGGTTTTCGGCTCCAAATCCATACACTTGGAAAGTCGCCGCCCGGATTGCATGGCGGTTATCTAGCAGAGGGTCGACATTTGAGTGAAGGATAGGAATTGGTTAGGCTTCTGGATAGAACATTTCAGTGGATTTTGCTTGCTGAAAAATTTCCTTCACGAGCAAGCAGAAGGCGTTGTCCTGCGACAAGAAACTCAGTTGTTTATCCCACTCTACCGTCTCCATAGCTTGCAAATTTTTCGGGTAGAATTGCCTTCCTGGGGTCAGCTTCGCAATGGCTTTGAGTTTCATAACATCTGCTTCTCTGAGATACTCGAAAGACCTCAGGGAAGCAGAACGCAGGATCGTCAGTGCCTGCTCCGTCCCCGTTCTTCCCGTGAGCTCGTCTGGCAGACAGTGCGATGTAAGCGCGTGCAGGTGGCAGACAACTAGCTTGCTCTGAAGACTGCCGTTGTCCACAAGTCTCTGCAAAAGAGTATCGATGTCGTAAGAATGAACTCTGCCAGATTTTCCATGGGGAATGGACACCTCGACATGATTTGTTGACGAGACCGCAGACCGCGATGAAATTTGGGAAAGAGGCTGGCGCTGGGGTTGAATGGGGAGGGGTTTGGGTCTGTGTTGGGAAGGTGCCTGGCAGGCTGAATGCGTGTGCTTGGCTTCCCTCCTCTTGCTCTCTTGCTTCCTGCCTCTCCTGGCTTCGCTGTGTTTGCTCTCCGGACAAGCTAACGACTTGGGTCTGTGTTGCTTGTCCTCCTGCTTCCTGCCTTTCCTGCTGTGTTTGTTCTCCTCCTCGATGCGGCTCGGGTCTTGTTGGGGATGGCTCTGTGTGGGCTTAGTAGATAAGCTGCTTCGTAGGGACTGCGCGGTTTCTTATGGGCACGTATGCTTTCGTGCGAGTTCTCTAGGCTCTTAGAGTAGTACGTATTGTGCCTAAGTCGGGGGGAGTCTCTTCTTCCTCTTGCTTGTCAATCTGGTCTTGAGCGTACATGGCGTAGGCCGGATGGCTCGAAATGTAGGCAAGACGACTCTTATCGGTTTCTGTGTATAATAGCTCGGTGTCGATGTGCTGCTTAGCCCGCTGGAGATGGTATGTCTCGGCTAGTATTTGGGTCGACTAGCTGAGCTGGATTTGTTCCTGCGATGTAGGCATTTAGGGGGGGGGGTTTGTCTAGTGCGTCGGCCGTAGCTGATCGCGGGCGGGAAAAAAAAAAAAAAGAACGAAAATGAATGTCGCTGTTGATAAGAGCTTTAAATTTAATGAATTTTGATGGTCTCTGATGATCCTGCCGGTGTTGCTACCATTTTGTTGGGCACAAGGGAATTCGGCAAGATGATGATGTATTTCTTAGCTGCTGCGTGGGTGGCTTATGGCCCTAAGTAGTGCTGTGCACGTGACAAGGTTGGCTCGCCGTTTGGTATAAGGACTTTGCGCCGGTTGTCCGCGTTTCTTAGCACGAGTTTGCTCTTCAGTCCAACTAACGTGCCAATGCCTTGGCTAAAGACCACGTACATCCCTCGAAATTGGCGGGAGTGCAGCTGGTCAGACCCAGATTCCATCGTGAAGTCGATCTGCAGCCTTGGCATTTCAACGGTGATACTGCTGGAACCCTTATCAAATACAACATGAAGGTGAGATTTCGCTTCAAGGGGCTGCAATAGGCGAGCTAGGTGCCTCGAGGTACCTGTTTCGATACCCAGCAATACTTTTTGATCGCCCCTTTCAAGTCTCCAACACGCTTCGACTTTTCTCATGGTCCAGCTCGTTCCGGGTGATCTTGTCCAGGGGCTTCTCTTGTCACAAAATTCTATAGTATTCGAGGCTCTGTCATACCAGTGAATATAATCATGGACAAACTTATAGGGCAGAATGCCTTCGAAAACTCTGGGGGGAATATTGTGTACGAAGCAGAGCAAGATGAAGGACACGATGGGAAGAGAACAGCACGAGCAACAATGTATCAGGATTGGTGCGTAATGTGGTGATGATCAATCTAAGTACGTACAATAGTGGGCGCGGAAGGTGACGAAGGTGTCAAGTGGCCCACTCACGTGACCCAACATCCCCCCGGCCAAAAAAAGAAAAGGGACATCGTCCTCGATGTTCGGTTTGAACAGTACAAAAAGGGGCCTCCTTGTCGTCTTGCGACAGGAAAAGAATGTTGTTGACAAAGGAAAGAGCAAGAGTTGTTATCAACAAAGGAAAGAGCAAGAATTATAGTAGCAAGAGGGAGGAAAGGAAAAAAGAGAGAGTTATCACCATTTGGTGTTGTCCGAACCGTAGTCGCCAACGGCGTCAGTGCCGGTTCCACCGTTGTGCCAGTCGTCGACGGTGTCGGTTCCACCGTTGTGCCAGTCGTCGACGGTGTCGGTGGCTGCGTCGTTGTGGGCGACGTTGGTGGTGTCCGCGATGGATTCCATTTCGGCGGCGACGGCGGCTTCATCGTTGTCGGCGGTGTCGGCCGCGGCTTCGACAGTTGCGTCGGCTGTCGGGGTGGTGTTGGGTTTGCCTTTGTTTTTGACCACGGGCAGGGGGCGGGGGCCCCTCGCGGCGGCTTGCAAGATCGCGGTCTGACGATTGACGATGTAGTCCCGGGAAGCCTTAACGTTGGTCTTGGGTTTCTTCCCTTTCTGGGCGGCGGCGGTGCGATTGAAGAGGCTGTGCTCGCGCGGGGCGTTGGCGATGGCTTCGGCAGACTGAGGTTGTGCATCAGGCCAAGTCTCGTCGTCCTGGTTGGTGTCGGGGGCGACGGGGGCAGGGGCGGCTGTGGCGACAGCAGGGGCCTTGCCTTTCGTCTTCCTGCGGATATCTGCGGAGTCGTTCACCCAGACGCGCAGGGTCTCGAGGGCTGTCTTGGGGACGCGTGCGCAGTATCGGTCAATGTGACTGCCTTTGCAGAATTTGCATGTAGGCTTCACCGGGCAGTTGTGGTCGAAGTGACCGTGTTGACAGCATTTCTTGCAAAAGCGGTCCCAGCCGAGGACGCGTTCCGCGCAGAGACGGAATCTCACGTGGTAGTCGCGGAAGTCTCGAAGGTTGTGTGGGAGGCGCGGGGTCAACTCGTCCGAGGCCACGGTGATCATGCCATAGCGGTGGCGTGTGAGGGCAACGTTGGTGCGGAGGGTCTCTCTGGTGTGACCGGCGGTCACGGAGCGGCCGATCGAGAGGATCACGATGTCAGCCTGGTGGCTGAGACTCTCGTCGACGGTGCGGCAGTCGACGCGGGCGCGGTTGAGGATGTGTGGGGGAATGTTCGCCATGTATCCTTTAATCCACTCACGCTGTTGAGCGTACATGCAAATAATAAGCACGTTGAAGGGACGGACGTCGGCTTCGTCGCGTACACCGGCTTCGAACTCGAGCCAGTCGCGCATGGTCGGGGCGTTCAGCTCGTGGAGGAGCTTAATAGCGAGCTCGACGGCGAAGGTGCCTTCAACCGTGTTGATGTATGAGGTGCCCGCGGCGGTCTCGGACGCGCCTCTGAGATCAATCCACACGGAGTTGTGTGCGGCGTGGAAGGTCTTCTGGAAGTAGGTGTGGACAGCCATCACGGGAACGGTTTTTTCGTGATTGACGAGAATCATCTGGCCGTTGAATAGATTGCGGGTCATGTAGAAACCGGCGGAGTGGCACACGCGATGGTTTTCATGGAGGGTGAAGTCTGCGCGATGAAGGGCTTGGGTGCGGGCTAGGAGGGGGTGGATTCTCTGATTGCCGACCAGGTCGTCGAATGACCACTCGTTTTCGTCCATGGTGACGTTGATGTGTGCTTTGTGGCTAGGTACGATGGGACGGAACTGGTTGGGGTCGCCGAGGATAAGAGTAGGGGTGGCGGGGAAGGCGGCGATGGGGACGAGGGCGGCGGTTTCCGTCAGGAAGCCGGCTTCGTCGATGATTAGAAGGGAGGGGGAGAGTTCTGGGCAATGGTTCTGAAGGTCCTTCAGGCAGTGCGGGGTGCAGAAGATTGCGGCCTGCTGCAACAAGATCTGCTTCAGCAGCTCGGTGCAAGCGGCCTTCAGGGTCCGTTTGTTCGCTTCGAAGGCGGTAGGATCTTCTTTGAAGGATACCCATCCCTCGGCAATGGCACCATAGCGCTCGGGGTCTGCTGCGATGCGACTGCGAGCCATTGAGGACAGGCTGCGTGGGTGGTTTCGTGGCGAGTGTAGATCACGGCTGGCTTGGATGCAGCTGCAGATGTGTCTCGTGATCGCGGCCACGGCTTGGGAGCGGACGCCTTTTTCCTTGCGGGGCATGTCGTCCTCTTTGGCTGGGTAGAGGAGAGCTTTGAGTTCCTTCTTGAAGGGGAAGACGCGTGCGGAGGGGACGCCTGGGTTACGTTTGGCGAACTCTGCTTCCGCGTCGGTGGAGAGCTGGTTCATGCCGATGGTGTGGGCAACGTAGGGGGGGACCGGGCCTTGTGGCATGACGGCGGCGGTCGCCAAGGCACCGGTCATGCAGATCTGGGCGAAGGTGGATTTGCCGGATCCTGGTCCTCCTTGAAGGATGAACTTGCCACAGACGGATGTGGCCAGGGCTCTAGCGGCGTCTGCGTGCTCGCGCCTGAAGTCTCCCGCGGCCAGGCAGTCGGCAATGCCGGGGAAGACCTGGAGCAGGTTGACGATGTGGTTTCTGCCGACATCAGGGTTAAAGTTGATGGAGTAGTTCCACCAGATGCGGCCAATGGAGGTAGGGGTCATGTTATTGAAGGCGTGGCACACCTTGCCCTCGTGTTTGAAGACGTCCAGGTCCGGGGTGTAAAAGAGCTGGGCCGGAATGTTCAGCTCGAGACGGTCGTGGAGGTTTTGCGTGGTGCCTTCGATACCGGGGTGCTTGTATGTAAACTCCAGGGGCGGCGCTTTGAGGTGTGTAGGCCAGTAGGGGTGGGAGGGCGTAAAAACGCGTAGGAATCTGTTGCCAGAGACCACGCCGTCCGGCTGGCGGATAAGGATGCCAGTCCAGGGGATGTCAATCCAGGAGAGGTGGTCAGTGGAGGCGTTGACCTCGCGGTGTGCGGTGTACCACGTCGTGACGCGCTCGCGGGTGTGGGCCGGGTTCTCGTCGCGATCCTGGTGGATTTCTGCGGCGGCGGCTGCGGCGGCCTGTTGACGTAGCTCGTCTACAGTGTTGTGTGCGAGCTCCTCAGGGGTGAAGGTGAAGGGCACATTGGGGAGGATGATGCGGGCGACGCGAGGACGAACATAGGTAATATACCACTGACTTAACTGTTCCTCCGAGGGGCCTTCGTATGTATCGTCGTCGTCAGAGTCCACTACTCCGCCATCGGCGTCGCGAGTGTTTGCTCTGGCTTGGGCTTGATCGCGATCGAAGTACGTGCGGTGAAGCGCGCACTGGGAGTCGACGTGCTCCATGGCTTTGGCCATGATGTCTTGGAGCTGACGATCGAAGCTGGCGACTGCTGCGGCGATGTCGTCCGTGTTCATCGTGCGGTTGGGGACGGGGCGGAACTTGTACGCAACGTTGAAGTAGACACGGACTTTGGTACCGTTGTCCGGAATGTTGTCCGCGAGACCGTCCTCGGGCTTGATGACGACGAGGAATTCGTGATGTTGGCCGTGGCTCTTGATGCCGAAGACGGCTTCGTCGTTAGGGGAGGAGAGCCATTGCGTGCCGCTCACGGGGATGAAGGCCGTTTGGAGCGGGGTGTGGGCACAGATATCAGCTCGCATCGCGAGGACGTGTTTGTCCTGAGCCACGCCGGCGGTCAGGGCCACGGTGCGCTGGTAGACGCTGTGGAAGTTGTTCAGGGATGGGAGGCTCGAGAGGGGTTTTGGGACGTCGATAATGTTGACGTTGTCGGCGTCGAGGGAGGTGTAGTCCTGGACGTTGTCACCCATGGCTTGGAACAGGGAGCCCTGGACGTGGCTGGTGGACTCGACGGCAAGGCTCAGGTCTTTGGTCCATGAGTCGGTGGCTGGGAGGATGAATAGCAATGGGACACCAGCCTGCTCGGGAGCGATGTTCTGGAAGGG